TTCCCTACTTCTCTGCACGGGGTGGTTCGATTAGACGTCCGCTGCGCAGAAGCAGAGGAGAGAATCCAATGCCCTTGGGGCACTCCAGGGATCTCAGGAAGAGGGATCATTTCCCAGGCAAAGGGTCTGTTGTGTATTAGGTCGGGAACCTTCCAGGACTATCTACCAGAGACTGGCTGAGCTTGGAGCTCTAGAACAATAGCCCACCAGGACTCTGGAAGTGACCAGTGAGAAATTAATGGCTGCGGTCGCACGAGCCGGAAAATGCGGGGGGGGGGTGGCTGTTTGCCCCAGAGCAGAATAACGTGCGGCTGCCCGATCAGACGTCCCGTCAAGGTACCGTGGTTAGGAGCGAGGTGGCGATCACACGACGATCCTGCAGCGCGGCAAAGAAGCGGCGCAGCACGATCACACCAGCAATGGCTAGGCGCCGCTGCCGTGGCAAACGGGGTCGTATTTTTTTAAGCCGAAGTTAGCGCATGCGCATGATCGAGCAATCGGATCCGGAAAGCCCTGCCCATGCGCACAACTGGAAACCGCCCGTGGATGCCCGTTCAGTACGGGGACGCGGAAGGTGGGTGGTGGGCTTTCACTTTCTTCTTTGTGCGCATGCGCCATTGGGTGCTTGTGTGCATCCTGTGGAGACTTGGGGGTGGGGAACCTGTTTGCGACGGGACATGCGCGGGCGCCGGATGCCACGGACTACCACCGGAAACGCGATCAGACGCCAGCCCTTGCCCCGCGGTTTCCGGAAACTAGTACCTCGGAGGTACTAGTTTTTTACTCCGCATCTTCGGCAGGAAGCCTCAGGTTCGCGACGGGAGCTCTACGCTTCCTAGATGTTGCGGTGTGATCGAGCCCGGAAAATCCGCCTATCATCCGTCTCTGTAGCGTGGCTAATGCTCCATGTGACCGCAGCCAATGTTATGTAAATAGCCTGTCGTTGCAAGTTGGGTGTGTTTGGGTGTGGTTTTTCACAAGCTATTTAAACAGGGCTGTTGCCCTGGTGCTTTAGTCTTGTTCCTGAAATCATTTAATAAACTAGAGCTGCAGTGCCTGTCCTGTCCGGCGTGAGCTGTAGCTGAGGCAACGCTTTCCAGGTGTGAGTCAACACACAGCCACTGGAGAGAGCTTAAATCGTCTTTATTTAACTTCACGTGCATTCAGTAGATCATTTACTCACAATCGAGCTGATAGCTGGATAGAGAAGTTACATCTTTCTGATCTAGGCCAACTCTATGGCCGTGGTGAGAAAAGAGATGGGCTTCCCCTCTCCTTGCAGTAAGGGTTGATGGACAAAGAATCGGAAAAGAACAATAAAACTCCTATCTTTGCGCCTCTGAGCTCAGGGAATTACTCTTAATGCGCCAGTCGGAGGGAAGCTTCTGGGACCCCTAACTGAGAACTACAATTCCCAGGTGCAACTACTCTTAAAGATACACAGCAGTTTTACTAAACTACAGTTAACGCTGGCTGGGGCAGCACAGTGAATCTTGAACCCAGTACTCAATACGGTCAGAGATGGAAGAAGTCAAACTCCTGGTGGAGAAATGAATGTTTATGACGAAGCCAATTCTCTTGCCACCTCCCACCCTTGACCTCCCTGCTTATGGGGCCAGGGGTGCTAGTGTGAAGACCAGGGGTCATCGTGTTCTCCCATGGGGTGGGCAGAAGTCCTGGAGGTTCCTGGCTCTGGGTTCGGGGGGGGGGCAAATGAATTTCAACTTATCTCTCCGCCAAGCTGTCTTCCTGAGGGCTTTCCGCTGCTGATCTTCCCATTTCCTG